GTGCATATCCCTGATATGACCTCGGCAGTCGATCAGAAGAAAACTGGCTTAAATGGATGTGTGACGGTGGCGGCACTAAGATAAATGCTTATTCGTGAACATGAATCAAGCAAAAATACTCAAGTACACAAAATACAGAACTGAAAATAAAAGAACAGACCCCATCACTCCTGCACACAAGCAGCACTCACAGGCAAACAGACACACAAAGTGAGTCTTTGGATCCATTTTTCTGTTTCTCTTTGCTGTCTTGGGTTTTTTTTGTGTGTGTTTGCAGTGGTTTTCTATCTCTTGTTGGTTGTTCCATCTGACTACTGTGGTCAGTGTGCATTTCTTTCTGCTTTCCTCCCATGAGTTTCTGACTCTGTGAACATGCTGATGCTCTACAAATACTTTGCATTATTTTGTAGCTGCTTTCACATCAAACTCTGGACAATGTCCCTAAACTCACAAGACTGTTACCTGCTCTTTTTAAACATCAGCTTAATCAGATGTTTCAGGATCTTTGTATTAGAGAGCTGGCAGGTCAAAGGGCATTTAACGTCTGACCAGATATGCAAACTCTAGTCCAGGCCACCCTGACACTTGGGCCTGTGCCCAGCAGTCCCAGTGTGTGATTCATTCATGTCTCCACATGCAAAAACATCTGGTATTTCACAAGAAAAAGGAGCAGAGATAAGATAAAAATGAGACAGAAAACAAGTCTAACACAAGTAATGATCCCACAACACTCAGAGTCATTAAATGATCATTAAGGAGGTTAGAGCAGGACAGATTAGCGTCACTAACGTCTCTTTCAGGTGTAAATCTACTGAATATTCTGTGAAATATTCTGTGAAATGACTCCAAACTATATGTTTTAGCTAGATCTTACTCAAGCACGCAAACACTTCCAACTTCTTTTATCATAAGGTTTTGTCATTCATGTGTCGCTTTGAGTCTCTTTCAACAACAAATAAATACGTAAATGAAAACCCACAATTTCCCTTAATACCAAGGAGACAGACAAAGACACAAGTTCAGACAGAATTTAGCAACTAACCAGAAACATTTGGTAGTGACCAAAAATTGAGCTAAAAAAGGACGATTATTGGACTATTTGAAGACTAAGGTGAAGCAAAACTGGATCTCTTTTCCACACCTGGCAGTAAAAGGCGTCAAGTGGATTGTCATGACGAAAAAATGGTACCACAGGTACAAAAGTCACCCGTCTCTTCAAAAACTAAATTTTTAAAGAGTAAAACTATGAATACACAAGATTTTAAAATGTTTCAATAACTAAATAATTTACACTGGTTTAAATTCTTTCAGAAAACTGCACAAGACTTGAATGACGTCTTGAAACAGACAGACAAGCCTAAAATATGTATTGTTACTCTACTACAGTGTCACTAAAGGAATTTCACGGGTGAGTGGAAATAAAAGGCTAAAAAGAAAGAGGGAAAAAAAAATAGCGCCTCCACCTTTAAACCAAGCAGGTGTTATCGTTCAAAAACCTGAGAAACCTGAACACGATAAAAGCTTTCAAACAGCGACGGGATGACATGGGAGGAAACGACACGTGCTACCGACGGAGAAGCTTTACACCGTCGAGAGGAATTCTAGCGAATGGCAAAAAACCTCCCTCCCCAGGGGTGGAGGGGGGAGAAAGTGCGAGAGAGACCCGACCCACGACCTGAAGAGAGGAACAAAGACTCCAGTCTGCTTCTCAAGCTGCCGGAGATTCAAACACTGCAGGCTTGTTGGTTTCTGCAATCATGCATCCCCCACTGCCACACACACACATGCTATTCATGCCTTACTAAATATAGTGTCCAGTGACCTAACAGGAGCACCTTGCCTCTTAACACAACCTGGGCTGTGTGTGTGTGTGTTGGTGAAGTTTCATCACAAAGAAACTAAAGTGAAAAGTGTGTTTAGTTTAAAGATTAAGCGATTTGTAAGGCTGATTCTGCTAAAAGTCACAAAACATAAAAAATTAGTTCTTTTAATTTTTATTCTAGATTTTAGAAACAGGTTTAAGGAGATTTGGAGGGAGCACATTTTGCTGATTTGTTGTCTGAATGAACATCAAAAAGGTTTCAGACTTTTGCTCAGCTGTCTTCAGTCTGAGAAGTTCAACCAACTTTAGCCACAAAGTGGGAGATTACAAAGTTTCTGCCAATCAGCAGGCGGTGGTGCAAAAAAAAGGGGGCTGCACGAGTATATCACCATGCAGTGGCTGGTTTATGTACTTGTTGCTGTAGCAAAACAAAGTATAATTAGCCACACCTTATAATCTGTGAATTCAGGTGTGTTCAGTCCCATCGGAACAGGTACGACATCAAAATTAAGCAACAAGTCAGTTTGGGAGGTTCCTCGATATTCCACGATCAACTCCAGGTGTTTTTATTACAGAGGTTTCAGGAATACCAGCAACTCCAGCGCGAAGCGTCAGACCACGTAAAGTCACAGAGTGCGGTCGTCACCAACGCTCTGCTGACTCAGTAACTGCAGGGCTCCAAACCTCCTCTGACGTTAACATCAGCACAGAAGCTGAAGGCTGGGAGCTTCACGGCCTCCATGGCTGAGCAGCTCCTGGAGGTGTAACGTGGAGGTGTCCCAGTACTTCTATATATAGTTTAGGTAAGCGCAATGTGACCTATGGCCAGCAGGGGGCAATGCCATAGGTTGGAAAAAAGAAAAAGATTTCTTTAACAGCTAGCTAGGTGATGTCATGTTAGCAAAATACTTATTTTACACCACCTGTGGAGGGCACTCTGAAATGAGCTGTGTAGAAGAAGTATGAACCTTATTAACAAACTTTTAAAGCATTTTATAATCAGATCTAACTGATTATGTACATGAAGTTTGAATAAATTTCCATGCGGCTGCAGAAATAACTGCCCAGGCATGTTGCCAAGATGGCTGTCAAGTGGCAAGACTTGCCTCTGGAACAAATTGCCTGCATTTTCCAGTGATCTGCAGTATATAAATCAGTAGATATAACATATGCAAAATAGAAATACATCAGAAATGCTTACATGCAAATGGAATGGAACCAATATTTCCATTAAGTTGGAAATGATATGCATCTCTCTCTAAAGATTTAGCTCATACTCAAAGCCGCTAACGGCGGGAAAAAGCTGCAAGCGCATCGTGAAGTGGTGGTGGTGAATGATTCAGCAAAACAATGGCTGTTTTTACACATCCAGTGGTGGGTTGTTACCAACGCTGACTTTCACTTAACTTTTGCTCCATTTTTGGCCTCCCTCTGACCGACTGCTTCTTTTGGTAAATGTTTTTGCTCACAGAAATGCAAATGGCTGCATAATTTACTGCATTTTTCTGTATTTTCATTTTTCAAAGATCACAGCTACAGCTCTCGGGTCTGCAGGTATATGAGAGGAACTGTAGCCTCGGGTCGTGTTTAAAGGCCCTTCATTCACAGCATGAATGCTCTCTGAAGCTTTAACACAAGTCTTTACCTGTCTGCGGGAGGCTGTCTGCGTTTGTGTGAGCCTGCTTTACTCACTCAAATCTCATCACACAGCCACAACATAGAGCAGGAACACCACTTCTTTCACTTTTGGGGGGGAGGGGGGCGGGCAAGTCAGCATGACGCTTAAAGTTGGGGGGAAAAGGGCTCAGAGAAGTTAATATTAAGTCAATGCAATGTCCTCAGAAAGGATGGAAACAAAAGTCAGGCTCATTAGGCGCCTGTGGTGTCTGATTCCCATCCTGTAAGTGAGCTGGATTTCTCCCTGCAAATGCAGACGCTCCCCCCTTCCTTCTCCACACACACACACATATATGCAGATTTGACGCACAAACACCTTTCAGTCTCGCTTTCTCCATCTCACTCGCTCGCCTCTTGGCCCACAGTGTTCCCCGAGAAGTCACACAGCTGGGAGACACCCTTCAAGTTACATAACTGCAGGCCTCATCTTACTGAGGCCAGACGCAGCACTCATGTTTCTCTCTTTTTTCTACTTTAGTCTGCTGCTCTTTTCTCTGCACTGCAACGCCGTTGTTTGTGACTAACACCTTCTGTGGGCACATAAAAGCAGAAGCTTGTGTTTAAGCAAATAACGTGGTAGAACTGAAGCCGATGTAATGTTGACTGCGCGTGAATAAATTCTTTAAATATCCCCACTTTGCATGGATGTCTTTTGTAAATCAGATACCTGACCAATATAATAACAGCAGCTATAACGAGTTCATGGTCCGACTCCAGGTTTTGTCATCTACAGGACATGAAGCAGCAGCTCACTTTAACACACTTTATAAATATTTAAAGGATACTGTTAGGTAGAGAGCCAGCTCCAAAAAATCCAGCATTAGTAAAGCACTAAAACTAAAGTTATTACTCATTTAAATCTACTTGTTGCAGGGATGGTGGCTTGATGCTCGGCGTCTCCAGATGCTGAAGGATTCTTGACAATAGCACGGGTAGCTCCAAAGCCACTGGTGTACGAATGTGGTTGTCTGAATGAGAAAAGTACTAAAAATATCTGCGTGCGCATCTATACTAAAGAAAGAAATACTACATAAATAAGGACCTGGAAGTATATATATATTTTTAAAAGCAATTGCTTTGATTTGATTGGAAAAATAATGATTTTCAGGAAAGCAGCTTATAAATAAAACCACCAGATACCTGTAATGAGGTCTACGTTATTAATCTCTGAAGTATGAACGAGTAGAAGCACACAGTAGTGTAAATATACTTGTGTAGAGTGCTTTAAATTGTGCGTCTTAGTGAGTCATCTGAGTAAAACCTTGCAGACTGATTTGTTTGAAAAATGTAAAAATGAGTCAGAGGAGCATCCTGGACCCCAAGGCTCAACATCTGAACGGAGAGCAGGGTACACACACAAACACACACACACCCTCCCCCCTCCTCTCTACTAATACCTCATCTAAGTGAGATAAGGGTGATCATCCCCCGCTGAGCAGCTGCAGAGCCTATCACCAGACCCCTGATCGATCATTTACACCCCAGCTAATCGATCACTTACTGTGGTGTTGAGCACACAGTCGATTTCTCCGGCCTCGGACAGCTCGCTGAGGTTCCTGTCCCAGTGAAGAAACGACTCACTGCTGTCCAGGATCTCCATGATTTCCTCCACACAGACTCTCTGTGGCCTTGTTGTTTTTTCCCCTCCTCCTCCAGCAGCAGCAACAGCAGCACAAACACAGCGGGGCTCTGTTGCAGTGCAGACAGTCAGGCTGGAAACCTCAAACTCCACCGGAAAGTTCTCCACAACTTTTTGGAGTGAAGGCAAAGAAATAAAAACACAGTCGAAACGCGTCCAGTCGGTTCAGATACAGAGCGATAAATGTGAGAGAGGGCTGAAGCAGACGCATTCAAGCTGAGAGCTGTTGTTGTTGTTGTTGTTTATCATCTCTCCTCTCTGGATCAGGGTCCACAGAGTGTTTCCACCAGGCTCCCCTTCCTTTTCTTACCTCCTCCTCTCAGACACAGGAATGTGTGGGAGGAGTCACACACAGTGAGACGGAGGAGCAATAGAGAAAAAACAAAAACAAAAAACAAACTCAAGTCTTAATCTCAGCCTTTAGTACGACTGATAACACAGCATTAAACATCACAACATATTAAAAAACAGAACATGTAAAAGCTCCGTCATTAATTTTTGACACTAGTTTGAAAATAGTCAGGTTAACTAAGCGGAGCTTCCGGTCTCTAATTTCAAAATAAAAAACCTAATAGTGATTGCAGAGCTTTTTTTTCTTGTTGTTGGCAAAGAAAAAATGTCAGTAATTTAACAACAACGACAGCAACAATATTGTTTTAATAATGATGATAATAATGATAACACATGCAAAGATATTGATTGCATACAAAATATTTGCTTTTGTTAGTTGTGATGTAAAAAAAATACTACTACTAGTACCATGTTGTAACAATAATAATAATAAATTAATAATAATAATAATAATAATAATAATAATAATAATAATAATAATAATAGTCAAGTTTAGACATTTGTATAATTATTATCTAAAGCTTATTTAGAGTTTCTTTAAAAAACAAAAAAACGTATTATTATAGCATCAAAGCCTTTACATTGTATAATCAACTTATCCAGCCACCACCACAACAACAAAAAAGGTTAAGTCTTCAGCTTAGATTTAAAGATTGCATGGTTACCTCAGCAATTTGCCTACATTTAAATATAAAACCAACAACGTCTTGTCAAAGGGCTTTCGGGGTTTTGGAAAAACTTTAGTTAAATTCTGTTTCCCAAAAGTTGTTTCTGTTCATCAGGCCGTAGCGTTTTCAGTGGGAGAAACGTTCTCTCCTGAGAACATTTTGGAGATTTACTTACCTGGATAATTGAGCATGCATCAAGAAATTTTTTGCACACATACATTTCATTGGAACATTTTCAAAGATTATATGTATGTATCTGAAACTACTGCTGTACAATTGTTGCTGTTACAATTGTGAAGGGTGTCTCCTCTAATCCAGTATATTTCTTAGACATTGTACAAACTATTAACTCTGAATGTTTTTTATGTAGTGTGGCCATTCCAGCATGCAAATATTACCCAGTGTTTAGATGATTGTAAATTTAAACGCAAATTAATTTATCCCTAGGCTATCTCTTAAAAATGTAACAAAAATAAAATAAAAAATGTTTTAATTATAATATTATAAATAATTAGAGTAGTGTGATTGCTTTAAAGATTGGTGTTGCTTGAGATCTAATGGTTAAGTATGATGCATTTTTTTCTAACTTCTTGCATGAAAATGAATATTATAGTGTTTTTCTTATTAAAAGAAAAAATATAAATTGTATATTTCTAGTCCGTGAGTTATGAAGGAAAATGAAACTAAGCAAAGTTACAAACTAAAGTCAATCTTGTCTTTCAAAAAATCTTTTATTTTTTTAAATAACCCGAAGCTACTTCCGGTATCACTGTGGGTGATTGGCCTTGAATCCACAGGGTTCTCCCGTAACTCAACCGCCCGCCCACATTCGTCTGCCTGACCAATCAGAGCTCTTTTGTATTTAAAGCTCCTCAGAGCCTTTCACTGACAACCTGCGCAGCCAATCAGGAACTTCAAAAACTCGTGCGACCAATTACTTTAGGCCAAGACTACCTTCTCGTTTTAATCCCACCCCGGCTGCTACTGAAACAGCCAATCGCATTATTCTGGTTAAAACAAAAACAAAAACACGGGTTTAAAGAGTTCATTTTAAAACAATATTTGAAAAAAATATATACCTTAACTATAAAAATTACATTTTCAGCTTATTTCAAACGTTTTCTCTCATTTTTTTTGTATATTTACCCAAGATAAAGTAATTTTTAAGTGCATTTAATAAATATTTTAAACATAAATTTTGTTTATTGTATCTTTAGGAACATATATGTATTAAAAAAAACAAACAAACAAACATCTAGTATGTCCTTTCTGAATAGTTCAGTCACCGTGCAGGAAGGAAATGAAGATAAACAGATAAGTACAACTGACAAAAGAGTGACAGAGCAGAAAATGTCAAATTCCCCACATAGTAATGTGGCTATAGCTATAGATGACTCATGCAGTTAATAATGAAAACAGCAGAAATTAAAACCAGTCTTAAGGTGTCGAAATTTGCGAGACGTGAACCTTGACCTCCAGTGAAACCGCTTTTATTTAGGAGCAGAGCTGGAAGAAAAATGGTGAAAATACTTTATATTTTGAGAGGCCATTAGTATTTATAAATAAATACTAATAAATACTAATAATTTTTTCTTTAAAGTAAGAAAAAAAAGTAAGAAAAAAAAGTTAACATGGGGTCAAATGGGACAA